TCGCCGTCGACACGGACGGGTCCGTGTACGCTTTGGGAAACAAGTCGCCGGTCCTCGGCACGCCCATGGCCGCGGGCAGCGTCGCCAACGGCCTCATCCGCGACCCCCTCACGGGCTCGTCCTTCGACGTCAAGACCGGCGAGCTCGTCGGCCCCTGGTGCCCCAACTTCCCCTTCAGCATCCTCTTCAGCATCATCGAGCCGACGACGCTCCCCGTCTTCAAATGCAAGACCGGCGGCGGCGCCGTCTCCGTCGAGGTCGACGTCAACGCGAAGACCAACTTCGAGTCGGGCTACTGGAAGGGCATCCTCGACGCCCAGGGCAAGACCGACGGCGGCTACTACTGAGCGCGATGCGACGGCGAAGGCGCGCGCCCGTGGCGCCGGCGTCCACGGCCGCGCGGACTCACACCACCAGGTGGCTCGCGTAAGCACCTCCCTCTAGCCAGACGCGTCGTGGGGACCCGTCTCATGCGTCGCGGGTACGTACGCGCACGGCGCGCCGGCGGAGGCGTCCGAGGCGGCGCTCGGGACCGGCTCGACGGCTTCGGCGGCGTCGCGCGCCACGACCGCAGCGGCGCGGCGCGCGCGCGCTGCACCGTGCACGTGAGCGTCGCAGCGCTGCACGGAGCTTCGCGCGCAGCGGCAGCGCGAGCGAGCACTCCCGTCGGACGACTCCAGCCGCCGTCGCCGAGGCCAGCACCACCTGCGCCGCCGCCGCGTCGAGCACGCCGCCGCCAAGACGAACGATGCCCGCCGGGCGCGCCTACGCGCTGTCGCTCTACCGGCGCGCGCTGCGCGCCGCGTTCCTCTGCCCGGACCCGTCGCAGCGCGCGACGATGACGGCGTACGCGAGGAACAGTTTTCGCGACAGCGCGCGGCTCAGCGACGCGCGGCGCGTGGGCACGCTCCTCGCCGACGCCGAGGAGCAGATCTCCTGGTCCGAGAGCCTGCACCGCCGCCGCCGACACGGCGAGGACGCCGCCGCGGACGCGGCCGCGGCCGCGGCGCCGCCCGCGGCCGCGGCGCCGCCCGCCGCGCCTCCAGCGGACGGCGGCCTCGCCGCGGAGCTCGCCGCCTACGCGAAGAAGCACAGCCTGCCCATCGACGTGTCGCACTGGGACGCCGACGAGCTCGCCGGGCTGAGAGCCGCGGAGCTCGAGGGCCTCGGGCTCCACGCCGTCGAGGCCGTCCGCCTCGCGGCGAAGGTCCGGGGGCTCCTCGAGCGGCACCGATGACGCGCGCCCCCCGTTTTTCGTTAGATCTCGCGCCAGCCCGAGGAGATGTAGATGACCATGGTCGCGAGGAGGAGGACGCCGAGGAGCTGGGCCTGGTACTTCATGCGGAACCGGGAGAACTTCGCGGGGAGCGCGTCCTTCGGGATGGCGAGGATCTCCTTCGTGCGCTTGTAGCGCATGTAGCCCGTGAGCCAGGTCAGGTCCACGCAGCCGACGAAGAGGCAGCCGACGACGAAGTACGTCGCGTACCAGCCGCCCGACTGGTCGTCCGCGTAGTCCAGGATCGTGAACGCGCAGCTCACGAGCGACAGCGCCGTCCGCATCCACGCCTACGACCGAGGGGAGTGAAGGTCCAGAAAGCATACGACGCCAACGCACGAGCCAGGTGCGCTCGTTGGCCAGGTGCGCGTTGATGCGCTCGAACTTGAGCAGTTGCGCGCGGAACGACGCCTCCGTCGGCCGCGCCTCGGGCGGCGCGGGCAGGGACAGGGCGCCCGTGAGCAGCGGCTCGTGCTCCTTGGCCGCGACGGGCGTCCCCGCCGCCGCGGAGCTCGCGCGCGACTCGATGGCGTCGACGTCCTCGACGACGGTGACCGCGAGCTCGCTGCCGCTCGGGAGGTACTCGTTGACGCAGACGATGCAGCCCGACGACGTCTCCGTCGCGTAGACCTGGACGCGCGGCGTCGTGAAAGGGCGCCGTTCAAACATCGAAACGCACCGTCGCGTCCGGCGGGATCAGCAGCGCGGCCTTGATGACCTCCTCGATGCTGGCGTCCGTGGACCCGGGGTACCAGCTCACCTTCTCGGAAGCGGCGTCGCCGGCCTTGACGACCGTGATGCACCGCCGGCCGTGGTCCAGCGCCGTCTCCGCCATGGCCGCCGCCGATGGGCTGCTCGACGTCGCGATGGTAGCAGCAACGGAAACCTTGAAGAGGGCAGCCACCTGAACGATGGCGGGTCGGACCTTTGCATCTCTCGCGCTCCTCGCGCGGGTGCTCGCGTCGCCCTACCGCTGTCAGACGGACCCGGACGACGACCTCGTCCTGCGCGGCCGGGACAACGCGACCCACGTCATCCCGGGGCTCCCGCGAAACCCGTCCGACTACGACTACGCCGTCGAGCGCGCCTTCGTCGTCCTGCCGCCCGTCTGCGTGTCGGAGCTGGGCCTCGAGGCCGACGCCGCGGGCGCGCGGTCCACGGGGCGGCGCTTCTGGGTCGGCCGCGTCGGCGACGCGGCCTGGACCTGGCGGCTCGCGGACTGCGCGTGCGGCTGGGTCGTCTTCCTCCACGGCAGCGGCGGCTTCACCTACGATAACTGGCGCTACGCGCTCGACCTCGCGAGCGCCGGCTACGGCGTCCTCGCGCCCGACTCCATGGGCAACGCGACGGGCGCGCGGTATCGGGAACCCGTCGACGACCTCGCGGAATCGCTCGCGTCGGACGGCGACTACGCCTACTGGTGCGACGACGAGGTCTACGCCGGCGGCTGCGCGGCCTTCGACGACGCGGACGGCTACCCGCTCTGCTTCTCGAGCGACGGCGACGCCATCGCGGCGGACCCGGAATCGTGGGCGTCGTACTACGCCAAGGTCTACGAGCTCCGGCGCCGCGAGCTCTCGCGCGTCGTCGACTGGCTCGAGGCGTCGGCCGGTCCGCTCGCCGACTCGATCTGGACCGCGGACAAGCTCTTCCTCGCCGGGAGCTCCGAGGGGGGCATGGTCGCGAGCCGCTTCTACGACGACCGGCTCCACGGCCGCCTCTCCGGGCTCCTCGTGTTCCAGTGGTCCTGCGAGCGCAACTACTTCGCGGCCTGCGGCGCCGCCGAGGCGCCGCCCTGGGCGATCTGCGAGGGCGCCTGCGACGCGCCGATCCTCGTGCTCGAGGCCGCGCGGGACCCGTTCTTCTCGAAAAACGACTCCGTCGCGGCGACCGTCGCGGCGGCCGAGGGCTACGCGCTCGCGGGCTCGGCGTGGGCGACGCTCGAGGGAAGCGACGCCCGGCGCGCGACGTCCGTCGTCCTCCCCCAGCGCGGCCTCGCCGCGCACGGCCTCACGGGGCCCTCCGGGAACCTCGTACGGGCCGCGGCGGCCGCGTTCCTGCGAGATCCGCTGGCGCCGCTGGAGACGCCCCTCGGCCCGGCCGCGGGCCTCTGCCGCCGGACGCGGGCGGGCCGGCGCGCCGACGAGTTCGTCTGCGCGGAGCTCGGCGCGGAGCCGCCCGCGCCGCCCGCGGCGGACTGCTCCTGGCCGGCCGCGCTCATCCACGGCGTCTACTACGCCGCGGGCGCCCTCGAGGCCTGCGCCGCGCGGCTGCCCTTCCTCGACGACGACGCGCCCGCGGGGGTCGTCCTCGACGAGGAGCCGCCGGCCCGCGGGCTCCCGGGCTGGTGGCTGCCGCTCGCCTTGCTCGCGGGCGTCGCCGCGGGGCGAAGCTCCGTCGCCTGCGGCGACGCGTCCTGCCTCGACACGCGCCTCGACGACGACGGCGGCGTGCCCGCGCCCGTCGCGACGAACGAGGCCGAGCAGGAGCGCATGATCGAGCTCGCCGAGGGGCCGGCGCGGGGGGATCTCGTGTGAGCTAAAGCCTGGGCTGTCGCATTTCGGGAGCGTGCTTCCTCGCGGCGCGGTTCTTTGGCCGCCTGCCCGGGGAGGCGTCCGCGGCGGTACTTGCGGCGGTCGGCAGTGGTAAGGCAGTGGCCTTTTCTCCGAGTCGCTTCAACAAAACAATTCTTCAGAACTCGAGCGAGGGTCTTCACCATTGACATAGAATGCATGAGTTTGTTGAAGACCCGGGTCTTAGACCAATCAAAGGGCGCGAAAGAGCTCCCTTCAAAAAGAGTTTGACGAACCCTTGAAGTGAAAGCCCAAGGGGATATAAATCTGCTGCCCCTTGAGTGCCCTCGAAGACACCATTCCCCTCTCAAGTGTACAGCCACCGCAGCCCCGCTCCGAAACACCATGGCGCCCTCCACCTTCGAGCTCTACCGCGCCCGGGACGAGGAGCGCCGCGCCCGCGCCGTGTCCTTCAGCGCGTCGAGCGCGTCGAGCGACTGGGACAGCGACAGCGACAGCGAGACCGAGTTCTGCGGCTACTCGCTGTTCTCCGGCGCGAGCGACGACGGCGACGAGACCGTGGCCTGCGACATCGCCCTCGGGCCCGACCCCTTCGCGGACCGCGTCGACGCCATGCTGCGCCGCCGCGCCGGGGGCGTCCGCGGCGCGCCGCGCGCGCCGCCGGTGCGCCGCGTCTCCGAGGAGTCCCTCTGCGACGACGAGCCGCCGACGCCGACCCTGCCGGAGGGGCGCGAGGGCGTCGAGTCCCTCGTCGCGCTCCTCCGCTCCGCCGCCATCAACACGGCGCCCGCCGTCGTGAGCCCGCCGCGCGCCCCCGGGCCGCGCCCGCCGAAAGGCGCGACGCCGCCCCTGAAGCGCCGCCCGACGAAGCGCGCCGCGTGCGCCGCCGTGGCGCGCACGCCCACGCTCAAGCGCGGCCGCCCGGCGCCCGTCGCGACCAAGGGCCTCTAGCGCCCCGGCGCGCGCGCGCGACGCGTCCGCGGCGGCCGCGCCGCGCCGCGGCGGCCGCGCGCGCGGCCTCTCCCAGCCCCCTGTGTCCTGTAAGCCCCTCCACTGTGCCCGCCCGGTCCGGGGACGCTCCCCGGGGGCCCGAACGGCGCGCCCTGGGCCGCCCCCGGGCGCGCGCGCGAGCAGGCTCGCGAGGCGCGGCGCGCCGAATTCAATTTTCGGCCAATCGGAATCGGGCGGAAAGTGGTGGATGCCGATGGAGGCAGCCCTTGTCGTGGCGCTGGCCGCCTGCGCGAGCGCCCTGGCGCCGCTCCCGCACCAGGGCGCGACCACGCGCGTGGGCGCGAGCGTGAGCGCGGACCTCGGTCCGCCGGACGCCTGGGCGCCGCTCGCGAGCCTGCCGCGGCAGCCCGTGGCGGGCAAGAAGGAGGCCAAGTCGTCCTGGCGGCGCCAGTTCACGATGACGTCCATCGACGACGAGATCCTGCTGGGCGTCATCAGCCCCCAGCTCGCCCTGCTCTTCGGGTCGCTCAACGGCGAGGCCGGCCCCATCGGGGCCTTTGCGGAAAGCTGCCCCGGCCTCGACAGCTCGGAGCAGCTCGCGGTCGACTTCCTGAGCGGCGACGTCTGGCTGCGGGATTTAGCGCCGGCGCCCCTCGGCGTCGCGTCGGTCTTCGGCCTGTTGCCGCGGCCGTTACGATTCACGGGCAACGTCGACGTCGACTTGTTACGAATTTCCTGGCCGTCGGTGCTGACGCTCGACTCGAAGCCGCTCCGCTACGATTTTGAAAACGTGCGGGGCAATGCAACAGAAGCATTACCGTCCGCCCTGGAGCTCAACACAGCACGGGAGACGCAGGCGGCCTGGCGCGAGCTCAGCGGGCCGCCCAAGTCTCTGGAAAAGCGGTACCCGCGCGGCGACGGCGCGACGACGCGGATTCGCAGCTTGGAGGTCGACGCGGACTCGAAGCGCTACGGGCCTTTGAAAATTGAGGCCCGCGACCTGGAGATCAAGGCCGTCGACGCCAAAGGGAAGGCCGTGAAGAACCTGAAGAAGCAGCTCGCGGTCGCCTTCGAAGAAGAAGCGGACGGGAAAATAACACTCCACAAGAAGATCCAGTGCCGGTCGTTGCGCATCTCGCGCGTCGACGGCCCGGGCCTGGAGCCGGCCATCACGCTGGAGACGCCCCTCGTCGCCACGGTGGCGTCGCGGAAGTTCGTCGAGAACGGCACGGACTGCGAGGTCTCGTGGCGCGTCAACGTGTCGTCGGCCTTCTCCATCGACGCCCTCGGCACCTTCCTCCCCGGCCGGCCGGCGCCGTCGCTGCCCGCGGACCCGGACTTGTTGCTCCCCAAGCCCCCCGCGGCGCCCGCGGACGCGCCGAAGCTCTCGTTCAAGCTCGGCGTGCTACCCCCGAACGCCAAGGTCCGCCGGCTCAAGCCCCTCGGCCGCGCGGCGGCGCGGCGCGGCGCCTACGACGACCGCGAGGAACCGACGACGCTCGCGGGCCGCGCCGCGCGCCGCGCGTCGTCCGTCGTCGCCGCGCCGCTCGGCTTCCTCGCGCGCCGCGGCGCGGGCCTCCTCGGCCGGATCCGCGGGAAACGCGCGCCCGGCGACGACTAACACTATTTACCCCCCTTGTGCGGCGGCGGGGCGGCGTCGTCGTCCGTGGCCGACGCCTTCGTGATGCGCGACTTGATGCCCGCCTGCTTGAGGAGGCCCGGGATCGCGGTGCGGATCTGCGACGTGGGGGTCGAAGTCCCGTCCTGGACGCCCGCGTCCCACTGGGCGGACGTCCAGCCCTGGGACGCCAAAGCCGCCCGGTGCTCCGCCTCCGTGATGGAGTGCTCGATGACGTACTTGGAGAGGAACTCGCGCTCCGTCGCGTGGACGACGCCGTCGGAGAGCACGACCTGCATGAGCACAAGAGTGATTCAACGTCGCTTCAACGTGAGTGTTCCGCGCGCGCGCGTTACGGAAAACACATCCACGCGTCGAGACCGTTCCGAGAGATGATCGCTCGTCCAAAAATCAGCCGAAACGAGTGGAAAATGGCCGAGATCGGAGCCTTTGAAGTTGGGAATTTCGCTCTCTTGTGCTGCCCTGAGCACGACCTGCATGAGCAGCGCGTAGGTCGCCGTGCGCTCCTCGGCGGACTTGGGCTCGCGCTTCTTCTGCTCGGCGCTGAAGTCGTACTGGCCCCGGCGCCGCAGGCCTTCGACCAGATCGAAGTAGAGGATGTTCAGGATCGCGGCTTCGATCGCCGGGTTCTCGTCCATGTCCTTTCGGAGCGCGCCGTAGTCGAACCTGGGCAGCACAAGAGTGATTCAACGTCTCTTCAACGTGAGTGTTCCGCGCGCGCGCGATCCGGGAAAAGCGTCCACGCTTCGAGACCGTTCCGAGAGATGATCGCTCGTCCAAAAATCAGCCGAAACGAGTGGAAAACGGCCGAGAAAGGAGCCTTTGAAGTTGGGAATGTCGCTCTCTTGTGCTGCCCTGAGTCGAACTCGACCACTCTCGTCTTCTCGGCGGCGATCGTCGTCGACGGGTAGGGGTGGTCCCGCACGGACGCGTCCAGGAGCGCCGTGCCGCCGATGACGCAGCCGCGGATCGGCACCGTCGCGCCGCCCTTGTCCATCGCCGGCGCGGCGCCGCCCTCGGCGAGGTCCCGCTTCGCGCGGTAGCGGTACAGCCGCTTCAGGCCGCCGTCGGACGCCGGCTCGTAGGAGTCGATGGACCCGTTGGCCAATACCACAATACGGTCCATCTTCGTGCCCGCCCTCACCAAGACCTCGCCGGGCTCCAGTTCGCGCCACTTCGCGAGGCGCATCATGGAGAAGAAGTTCTGCGGCGACACGCCGTAGGGCCGCAGCACCGACTCGTACAAGGCCATCTCCTCGGACGTGAAATAGAGCTCCTTCTTCTCGCCGAGGAACAGCAGAGGGAACATGCCGATGACGCAGCCGACGGAGATGCCGACCGCGGACGCCCAGCCCTTGACGGCGCGCGACGCGCGGTGCGTGAGCTGCTCCGTCGTGAGCGGCTTCGACTTGGACTTGCCGAGGATCACGTTCGCGTAGCGCTCGATGACGTCGCCCGCGCCGATGCCGACGATGTCGCTCAGGAGGTTGCCGATGCCCGCCGCCGCGAGCGTCGAGATCCCCAGCGTCACGCCGATGGACTTGTCGATGGCGTCGCCGGCGAGGATCATGATGAGGTTGTCCGCGAAGCCGAAGCCCACGAAGGGCACGCCGACGTTCAGCGCCAGCCGCCAGAGCTGCGCCCGGCTCGGCGGCTCGATGGCCTTGCTCTCGGGGGCCGTCGTCGCGCAGCGCCGCCGCGCCGCGACGCGCGAGGGCAGCGGCCGCGCGCGCCGCAGCGGCGCCATGGCCGCGCGCGCAAACATTGGCTGCGCGGCGCGGCTGCGAAGCAGTGCGAGAGCGCGGCCCACTTCGAGCTCGAGCGCACAAGATCTGCTCAGCTCAGCTCAGCTTAGCTCAGCTCAGCTCAGCAGCTCAAGGTGGGAGTTGCACTACAACACGGTGCGATGGCAGCCCTTTTGGGCCGCCTCGAGACGCTCGATGACCGCCAGGCAGCCACAACCAGCAGCCACCACGCGCAAGCATCGTCGCACGCAGCATCCCTGCGCGCGGCGATCCTCGAGGACCGCGCGCCGCTCGTCCTGCGCGGCTGCGTGCCTCGACGCACCGTCGAGGCGTGGAAAAATGCCATGCTGGACGCGCGCGGCCCGCCGCTCGTGCCCTTCGCCGGCGAGACGACGGTGTCCAACGAGCGCAACTCGCTGGGCCCGCCGACGACGGCGCGGCGGCTCTACGCCGGCGCTACGGCGGGCCAGCTTCGGACCGACGCGCCGGACGTCGCGGGCCTCGCGGTCCTCGGCGGCCTCGAGGACGAGGGCGTCGGCGTCCGGAGGACCGTGGCCTTCGCCACGTCCGCGCGGCTGCGCACGCCCATGCATTCCGACGCGGAGGACGGCCTGCTCGTCCACGTCGACGGCGTCAAGCGCTTCGCGCTCGCGCCGCCGTCTTCTTACTCCGCGCTCGCGCGCTTCGGTACGACGAGCGGCGCGCACGACGCCCTGTTCCGCGGCTCCGACGCCGTCGTCACCGGCGAGCTGCGGCCGGGCGACGCGCTCTACCTGCCGCGGCGCTGGCTCCACGACGTCGAGTCGGAAACGCCGACGCTGTCCATCGCGCTCCGCTTCGACCTGCCGGTCCACCTGGACTTCTTCTAATTCGCTTAGTCGAGCTTCGCCGAGAGGCGCCGCGGCCGCTTCGTGCCGCCCTTCATCCACGGCTCGTCGTTGAAGTCCTCGTCGTCGCTGTCGTCGTCGTCGCTCGACGACGACGAGCTCGACGACGACGCGTCGGCGTCGTCGTCGTCCGAGAAGACCTCGTCGCGGGGGGGCTTCTTGTCCAGCGAGACGGCCGCGGCGCGCGGCGACTCGGAGCCGCGCGGCGTCCCGAGCCTCGGGGCCGGGGCCGCCGCCTCCGACGACTGGTCGTCGTCCGAGTGGTCGATGACGATGACGGCGTCGTCCGACGGCGGCGGCTTCGGCCGCGCGGCGGGCGGCTTCCGCGGCGGCGGGCTCGCGCCCCGGGGCCTGAACGAGAGCATCGACAGGACGCTCCGCGCGCCGGCGTCGGGCTTGGCCTTCTTCTTCGCGGGCCGCTGTTTTTTCGTGTCCTTCTCGGCGTCGCGCGCGGCGCAATCCGAGCACTTCCAGCGCGCCGGCGCCCCCTCCTCTCCCCGCGCCGCGAGGCAGTCGCCGCAGTAGGACAGGCCGCAGGCGCCGGCGCAGCGCGCGTGGTTCGCGCCGCGGGGCCGCGCGGCGTCGCAGCGCGCGCAGCGCGCGCCCCGCTCCGTATAATTTTCGCTCGCCGTCTTCCGCAGCACGAGCGCGAGGTCCTTGGCGTTCGCGTTCAATCGGAACGCGGCCAGATCGCCCGCGGCCGCGCACCCGACGAACACATGCGAGTAGCCCCGGCGCTTGCGCAGGCAGCACGTCGCCTCGACGGCCTGGCCGTTGGAGTCGCAGGCGCGCCACTTCGGCGACCGATCCCGCGACGCGCCGAGCCGCGGGTGCGACGTCCGGCTGTAGTAGAGCAGGCCCACCCGGAAATGGATCCGCGCGACGGCGTCGGCCAGCGCGTTCGCGAGCCCCAGGCCCTGGAAGTCCGGCAACACGACGAAGCGGCTCTGGGAAAAGGCGAAGGCGCCGCGCTTCGACACGCGGCTGTCGAAGGCGACGGCCGCGCCCGCCGCGTCGAGCGCGACGAAGCACCGCGCGGCCTGGCTGAGCTTCCGCGCGAGGTAGTGGTGCTGCTTGAAGCGGTCCCAGACCTCGTTCGCGCAGGGCTCCAAACGCACGTCGACCGTCGGCGGCGCGAAGCTGGAATCCAAAGCGGCGGCGACGGCCGCGGCCCACGCGGCTTTGCTTCGGTCGCCGACGCGCGCGATGGCGGCCGCGTCGTCGTCGACGGCGTCCGTGCGGTCGCGGAGCTCGCCCGTCGTCGTGCGGAAGGCCCAGTCGGGCCGGAGCGCCTCCGCGACGGCGTCGACGCACGTCGCGACGACGACGCCTCGGAAGCCCCGCTCGCGGACGAAGGCGCCGAGCGACGCCGCGACGGCGACGGCGGCGCCCGCGTCGAGGCCCGTGCAGACCTCGTCGAGCACCGCGTCGTCGCCGACGTGCGCCGCGACTTTGAGTAAAGCGGCCGCGGACCGCGAGAGCTCGCCGACGCGTCTATTCTCGAAGCCCTCGAGGCCGCAGGCCGCCAACCGCCGCCGCGCGAGGTGCGGCGGGTCGACGCGGAGCAGCGCGTCCAAGACCGTCGGGCCGTCGACGACGTCCGCGCTCGTCACGCCCCCAAAGGTCGCGCCGAGGAGCGTCGACTTGCCGCTCCCGGACGGTCCGCAGACGACCCCCAGGCCGAATTCCGCGCGCATCAGGTCCTCGCGCCGCAGCAGCCTTAACCGCTTGCTGCAGGTGCCGTCGAAGTCGACCTCGAGCGCCTCGGCCGCCGCCGCCGTGCACGCGTCCGCCTCGACCGCGCAGGCGAGCGTCCGCGCCGCGCGGACGCGACACGAGCGGAAGCCGCCCGCCCACCAGCCGCCGTCGGCGCCCGCGACGTCGCGCGCCGTGAGCTGCTTTGGCGCGCCCCGGAGGCTCCGGAAGGCCACGGGGCCGGCGACCATCTGCTCGTGCGCGTACTGGCGGCAGCGCACGCGCACGTTCGTCCGCCGCTCGTCGCCCTCCCTCGGGTTCCACAGAACGCGCGGCGCCGCGCCGACGTCCAGGACCACGAGCGCGCAGGGCTGGAGCCAGCGCGCGACGTCCGGCAGGGCCGACGCGAACGCCACGCGTCGTAACTTTCGTCTCTCCACTAGCTGGCGCACGCACGCGGCCGCGGTCGTCGCCGCGCGCCAGTGGACCTCGCTCCCGAGGTCGTCGAGGCCGACGCCCGACTCCAGGCACCGCGCGACGACGGCGCGCGCCTTCTCGCCGTTGCTCAGACTGGAGAACGGCTGCGTCCACGTCGGGATCGTGCTCAGGCCGCTCCCGAGGAGGCGCTCGATGGCCGCGGCGGGCGCCTCGCCGGGCGCGACCTGCGAGACGACGGCTTTGCCGCCGTCCCACCGCAGCGCGCCCGGGTCGATGACGGGGCCCAGGCGCCGCAGGAGCGTCGTCTTCCCGGACGACCCGGGCCCGACGACGAGGCACGTGCGGTAGCCGCGGCTCTTGAGCTCCTCGACGACAGCGTCGAGGGCGTCCGCGGGCGCGTCCGACGAGGAGGAGGAGGAGTCGTCGGATGCGGCGTTGTTCCAGCAAAGCGAGGCGTCATCGTCGGAGGGCGCGGCCATGACCGATCGATCCCGCCGGCTTCAATGATGCTTCAATGAACTTGTTGAACTTTATCTTTGACCCGCTTTTTTGCGTTTCGCCGCGCACTGAGTCGCCTATCTTACATACGTGCGCGCCTAGCTCGTCTGGTGACGGCTCTCACCGCCGGCGAGCTCGCCGCGCCGGCCGCCGCCGCGGTCGCGCGCTCACGCGGCGAACGGGACGGAGGAGTGGTGCAGGAAGATGCGGACCACGCCGTCGTCGCAGCGCTGGTAGCCGAAGGTGTACTCGACCTTGGCCTCCTCGCCCGTCGTCGCGCAGGTGAAGTAGTAGTTGCCCATCGCGATGGCGACGTCGTTCTTGACGACGACGTTGTGGTTGTCGTAGACGCACTTGGCCCAGCCCTTGCCGCCGTTGATGGCGAAGCCGCCGTCCTCGTCGTAGCCGTCGGCCACGTTCGCGCCGCCGACGAAGTAGGACATGGCCTCCTCGGGCGTCGGCCGGAATTGGTGCGCGGCGGCCTTGGTCGGCTTGAAGAGCACGTCGCCGTGGCCGTAGGCGTAGAGCTCGCCGGCGGCGTCGGCCGCCGCCTGGATGAAGTCGCCGCCGTCCTTGTGCGTCGCCGAGATGGTCTCGATCGCCGCCGCCCACTTGGACTGCACGGCGAGGACGTCGGCTTCGCTCACGCCAGCGGAGAAGCTGCGCTGCGCGAGCGCGCTGCCGGGCAGGCCCTGCCGCAGCAGCGCGGGGACGCGCGCCGCCGCACCGCGCGCGGCGATGGTGCGAAGGCCGAGCATGGAACGCGTCGAAGGAGGCCGAGGGCGCCGAGTTACCGAGCAGAGGTGAAACTCAGGAGATGGTTCAACGTCGAGTTCAACCATCAGGCCAGCGCGTAAAGCATGGCCTCCATGTTCGTCCTGCTCGCCCTCCTCCGCGCCGCAACGTCCGTCGTCGTGCTGCCCGACCGGGCGCCCAAGGGCTTCAACAGCTTCGACGACTACCACAGCCAGACCCTGAACCAGTCCACGGCCCACGCCCTCGCCACGGCCATGGCCAGCCAGCTCCTGCCCCACGGCTTCGACCACTTCGTGCTCGACGGCGGCTGGGCGCGGAGCACGGACGCCGACGGCAACGTGACGTGGCACTTCGACGAGTGGGGGCGGCCCGTCGCGGCGCCCGACCGCTACGACGACCTCGCGCGGCTCTCGCGGGAGGTCAAGGGCCTGGGCCTCAAGTTCGGCCTGTGGACGGTCCGCGGCGTGCACCGGGACTTTCTCCACCTGCGGGTCAAGGGCATGGAACAGTACGCGCTCGGCGACCTCGTGGACCAGGAGGCGACGGGCGGCGGCGCCAACGGGAGCTGCCTCTGGATGAGAGAGATGCTCGGCGTGAACATGTCCCATCCCGCGGCCATGGCGTACTACGAGAGCCGCGTGGACCAGCTCGTGGGCACCTACGGCGCCGACTTCATCAAGGCCGACTGCATGATGTGCGCGCCGTGCTACACGAGGGAGATCGAGGCCTTCACGGCCGCGGTCGAGCAGCGAAAAGAAGCTGTGGTATTGTCCTACTCGCCCGGCGGCGGCAACGCCGTCGACGACGGCAAATGGGTCGCCGAGGGCAAATTGGGGTCCATGTACCGCGTCACGACGGACTTCCACGGCGGCTGGTACGGCTGGGGCTCGCTGCAGCAGTCGCTCTTCATCCAGGGCAACTTCTCCGCCGCGGGCCTCTACGGCGCCAACGGCACCTGGCCCGACCCGGACATGCTGCCCATGCGTTCCGACTGGTGGAACCGCAGCGTGGAGCAGGACGACCGCGGCGAGACGATCTTCGCCGCGTGGACGATCAGCGGAGCGCCGCTCATGCACGCGGGCGAGCTCCCGGCGGACGACCGCACGGCGGCCTACCTCACGAACCCCACGGCGCGGCGCGTCCACGAGAACGGCACCCTCTTCGGCGTCCGGTACTACGAGGGCAACTGCACGTGCGTCGGAGGGCCGACGGCGTGCACGATCCCGCGGGATTTTTTCCCCGCGGCGCCGTGCGTCGCCGTCTGGGGGTCGGCGCTCAACGACGGGTTCGCGGGCGGGTTCGCCGCGGCGCTCTTCAATCTCGGGGAGAACGCCACGACGGCGACGCTCGACCTCGCGCGCGTCGGACGCGCGGACGAGGCCGCGGGCGGCGTGCTCGTCACCGAGGTCTGGACGGGCCGCGTCGTCGGCAACTTCGCGCCCGGCGCCGTCGTCGACGTCCCGCTGCGGCCCCACGCGAGCACGTTCTTCGTCGGCGAGTACGTGCTCGGTGCGTAATCATCATGTTGAAGTACACCTTGTACTTCACCTATCGGAGAGCCGAGGCTTCCAGCTGTCCAGGATTGATTGCTGGCTTCGCCTCGACGCGCTGCCCCGACGCTTCGCCTCGACTCGCTGCCCCGATGGCCTACTTCCAGAGCCAGGTCCCCGCGAAGCCGCTCGCGGAGGCGCTCGCGGCCCCGCCTGAACCGGGACATGGCGCTCGCCAAGGAGCCCATGCCCAACTTCAGCAGCACGCCCGGCGGCCCCAACGACTGCCCGCTCACCTTCTGGGCGACCTGGACGCTGAACTCGCGGCCGCGGCGCATCGCGCTCCTGCTCGACGACGCCCAGGAGGAGTACCGGCCCTACGCGGCGCCGATCATCGGTAACCTGGCCGCGCTCGTCGCCGCGTTCCGCGAGAAGGACGCGCCCGTCGTCTGGTCGAGCTGGTCGCGCCAGTTCGACGACGGCATTTCGAACGCCATGGACCGCTGGTACGGCCCCCGGGGCCTGCGGGCGGACGCGCCGGAGAACGCGGTCTACGTCTTCGAGGGCGAGGCGGGCCTCGAGCCGCTGCGGGAGATCGCGCCGACGACCGCGGAGAAGGCGGCCGGCTGGTTCTACCACTCCAAGATGTTGGACATGTTCTGGGTCTTCCGCCCCGACGGGAAGTCCTACCTCGACGAGAAGCTGAAGGCCGAGGGCGTCGACACGGTCGTCATCGCGGGGCTCTGGACGGACGAGTGCATCGTCGCGACGGCCTACGCGGCCCTCTCCCGCGGCTACGACGTCGTCGTCGTCGGCGACGGCGTCGCGACCGCCACGGCCCACCACGACAAGGCGTTGACGATCATGAACGCGACCTGCGGCAAGGTGCTGAAGACCGACGACGTCGTCGCCTACGTGAAGAAGGAGTTCGTCAAGTGCGCGCCGGGCGCGTACAAGGGCGCGCGCCACCCCGACGGCCGCAAGGACAACGTGCCGCCGCCGCCGACGCCGCTCCTGCCGAAGCTCGCCGCCGCCGCCGCCGTCGCGGCCGCCGCCGCGGTCCTCGTCGCCGCGCGCCGCTAGACTATGTTCCCCCCTCTAGTAGCCTACTGGGCCGGCGCCTTCTTGGGCTTGGGCTTGCACTCCTTCCGGTGCTTGGGCCAGTCGTTGCGCTGGCACTGCGTGGAGCAGTAGACGACGCCCTGGCAGCGCGAGCAGCGCAGGATCTTGGGCACGAAGGACAGCGTGCCCGAGCCGCCGTGCTTGGACGTCGTGCCGCAGACGGCGCAGGGCGGGAAGTTCGGGTCCGGCGCCGGCGCCTCGGGAAGATCCTCGTGGATGTGCGTAAAGTCCGTGTAGTTGAAGAGCTTCTTGTGGGGCAGGTAGGTCCAGCAGCGGAGGTTGCCCAGCACCGCGTCGACGAAGCGCGCGCACCACTCCGGGTCGATCATGGGGATGTCGTGGAGCCGCCCGCTCGGGCAGAGGCCCAGCTTGCCCTGCGTCGCGCCGACGCCGAGCAGCGGGCCGACGAAGGGCGCGCCGCACCTCGCCGGGATCTCGAGAAACCGCTCCCGGCTGTTCGCCGCCGCGGCCTTGCCCTCGAGCGCCGCGTCGTCGCAGAGCGTCGCGCCGTCCGCGGCGACGGCCACGGCGACGCAGCACTGGAGCTCGCCGAGGCGGTCGTGGCACTCGTGGGCCGCTCCCGGTAAAGACCGGTAGAGCGACTCCTCGACGTCCGGAGGACACGTCAGCACCTCGTACTCCATGCCGACCTCGTCGTGCCTTTTCTCCGTCGCGTAGCACTTCATGCGGAAGGCCGTGGACCCGTCCCAGGCGCGGCTCGGGATGGAGAAGTAGACCTTGTCGTCGTCCTTGTTCGTCGCGAGGTCCCGCAAAAGGTCGACGCGCGCGATGTCGCGGTCCTCGTACTCTTCCAGCTTCTCCTCGAGCTCCTCGAAGCACGGCTTCCAGCGCGAGTACGCGAAGGCCGCCGTCGCCGGGCCGTTGTCCCGGGCGAAGATCAGCGGCTCCCAGAGGCCGAAGCCGTGGAACGCGCCCGGCCGCCGGAGCTCCGACAGCACCAGCGCCGTCGCGCCGACGCCGTGGCCGAAGCCGTAGACGGGCCGCGCGACGATGGGAAAACTCGGGTCGTCGAGCACGGAGAAGACGTCGCGGGGCGCGCGCTCCGCGAGGTCGTAGCGCGGCCCGTCGTACCCCGACCCGCCGAGCGTCCGCGAGTTGCCGTGGCCCGTGAGCTCCACGGCGACGACCTCGAAGCGCACCTTGCTCTTCTTCCAGCGGTAGTCGAGGCTCTGGAAGAGGCCGTACCAGACGCCGCTGTTCAGCCCGCCCGTGTGCACGAAGCACAGCACCGCCGCCTGCTCCTCGAGGTCGACGTAGTCCGCGCCCAGACTGCCCCGCACGAAGCCGACGCCCTCGTTCGTCACGCCCCGCAACAGATCGAAGCTGTCGCCGCTCAACCCAAACGTGACCTTCTCCGGCGCCTCGCGCTCCTCTTTGACGCGCCGCTCGGGGCCCAGCATCTTCGCCGACACCCAGCCCGTGATGCTGTAGTTGTACTCGCCGGCCTGGCGCACGCAGACGCGCTCGACGCCCGTCTCGAGGGTGACGCGCCCGAGGCACGTCACGACCGTGCCCGTCGCCAGCACGTGGCCCTTCTTCGAGTCCATCTTTTGCGTCGCCCGCAGCAGCGCGGGGTGAAGCGTCGTCGCCTCGAGGCGCGTGCCGTAGTTCTCGTCGACGTCCGCCTTGACTTTGGTCGAGAGGCCCTCCTTTTCCATCGCCTTCTCGACCTCCATGGTTTCTCGTCGTCGCTAGCTCTCTGAGTAGGCCACCACCATCGAATGCGAGCGCAAGCCGAGCTCGAGCTGTTTTAATTACGGTTCAAGAAGTCGCTTCAACGACGTCGTGTGAGAAGCCTATGGCAGCAGCCCTCCTACTGCTGATGCTTGCGACGCGCCTCTCCCTCGCGGCAGCCCTGCTGCTGCCAACGCTCGCGACGAGCGGCGCGACGGATGCGGGCGCGATCCTGCTCATCGCCGGCGAGGCGCGCACCTTCTCCTGCACGTTTCCCAGCCTCGTCGCGAGTCTCGCCAAGCCGCTGGACGCCGACCTCTTTGCCTTCATGACGACGAGCGATGGCAACGCGACGCTGGCCGCGCTCCAAACCTATCGCAGGTTCGTCGGCGCGGAGCTCGTCGAGCGGTTGGCCTGCGACGACGCGTGCCTGCTGACGTCGGTCCGGTGCCGCGGCCGCTTCGCGGGCTCGCTCGCCAACGACACGCTGCTGCAAAGCGCGCTCCGTCAGGCCCGGCTGCTCGAACGCGCCGGCGACGAGCTGCGGCGGCTCGAGCGTGAGCGCGGCCGGCGCTACGCGTGGGTCGCCTGGGCGCGGCCCGACGTCGCCGTCGACGGCTCGACGCTGCGACGCCCGCTCGAGGGCATCACGCAGACGAGCGAGTGGAACCGGCCCTGCGCGGGCAACGTCGACCGCGCGCGCGTGCTCCCCCGCGACGACGCGGAGCTGCTCCTCGCCTCGGGCATGGCGGCCGTCCGCGCCGCGTGCGGCGACTTTGGCACGGACCGCTGCGCCCACGACCGGCGCGCCGAGTGCTGGGCCTACGCGCGGGAGCCCGCGGACTTCTTCCGCGGCCCGCGCGACGTCGGCTGCCTCGACCGCGCGAAGCCCGTCGGCCCGCGGCGGTGCCTTAACGCGGGCTAGTGGTCGTGGTCGTCGTCGACGGCGCGCATGAAGGCCAGGATCTCCTCCTTCGTGTAGCCCTGGGTGTCGAGCATGGCGTCGAGGCTCGCGCCGATGGCGAACCAGAGGCCCGCGAGCGCGACCGTGCCGACGGTGTAGCAGCGCCGCGCCGCCGCCGGCGGCTCGTCGCCGCCGACGACGCGCCGGGCCACGAGCGCGGGCAGCCGCAGCGCCGTGCCGAAGACGGCGTCGACGGCCCAGGACACGAGGCCGAACGCGTCGGCCGTCGCGACGAAGAACGCGCCCCACGCGACGAGCGGCTGCGCCTCGAGCGCGGCGCGCAGCGCGCCGCGCGCGGCGACGCAGGCGGCCTGGGCGGCGAGGAGGGTCCGCCGGTCGCGCGCGGGCGCGACGACGACGACGAGCACCTCCGCGTGGTCCGCGAGGCCCCGCGCGACCTGGTCGCTCACCTTGCCCTCGAAGGCCCGCACGAACGGCTTCAGCGCCGCGAGCGCGGAGACGAGCCAGGCCGCGGCGCGCAGGCACCACCAGGCCGGCAGGGACCAGCGCGACGCGTCCTTGAGGCGCTTGCACCGCAGCACGACCTCGGTGGCCGCGCAGGCGTAGACCAGCGTGAGCGCGGCGAACCTGTGTCGGATGTTGTGTCTCGCTTTGCTTTTATGACGCCGCCGGCGCGCAGGCATTGGCACGCGATATTATCGCAGCGCTCCTCGAAGGGCGCGCGGAGCAGTTCCATGCTGCCAATGCAGAAAGCACGACACCCAGACGGAGCGCGTCGGGGCAGCGCGTGCGCTCGCAAGGTAACTTGTTTTGTTGCGGTTGATGATGAAGTGCTCTCAATTGGCTGTTTCGGCCCCTGGAGGAGCGCTGGGCTGCGCGGGAGCGCCCGGGAGAGCGCGCGGGGCGAGCCCCTTGGACAGATTCATGGCTTCGCAGCAGCCCTCGGAGATGTCCAGCAAGCAGCTGAAGGCAGAACTCGCGCAATTGGACGTTCCGACGCAGGGCCTGCTCGAGAAGCCGGAGCTCGTGGCGGCGCTAGTGGAAGCGCAGGCGCGGGCCGCTTCTGTGACCCAAGGCGACTCGCAGGATTCGCCGCGGCCCACAGGAAGTCGGCTCCGACGCCATCGCGACCACAGCCCCGAGGACGAAGAGCCGCTGGCCAGTCCGCCTGAGACGCCCCGGAAACGACGGAGACAAGAGCTTTATAGAAGCATTCGTGGTCGGACTATAAAGTTCGTGGTCGTCGACGACGAGGAGGACGACGACGAGGTCGAATTTCTGGGCTCGCGGACCGAGGCCGAACGCGCGGAGGCCGAGCGGCTCCGCGCGGAGCAACGGAACGAGGTGCACGACGTCGACGACGACGGCGACGAGCTCGAGGACCTCGGCGTCAAGGAGTTGAAGGCCCTGGCCAAGGTCACGCGCGTCGACGTGTCCAAGTGCCTGGAGAAGGCCGACATCGTGGCGGCGATCCGAGCGGCGCCGGCTGCGGCGCCGGCCGCGGCGCCGGTTCCTCCGGCGTCCGGCGTCGACCCACGGCTCGAGGTTGACGCCTGCGTGCGCAAGGAGTTTCGCTCCTTTGGAATGTTCGACGGCGAGGTCACGGGGGTCGGCAGCAAGAAATTTTCCGTGCTCTGGGAGGATGGTGACGACGGCTCTTACCCGCTCAAATCTGCTAAGAAGATGCTCGACGCCTATGAAAAATACGGTGGCAAGTTTTCCGATCGACCGCAGGCTCTCGAGCACCGCGATTTGATGAACTGCTCGATCTGTGAAGGTAGGGGTCTCCCCAAATACGGGACGCAGACCAACCGCTATCGGGACGGCTACGTAATGCCGAAGGACAACTTCTCGTCCGCTGTGCAGCGCGGCGACTACGGAAAATATTGCACGCGTCCATTCTGTTTGCAACACACGTCGACGGATCAGAACGAGTACGTCGCGCAGCTAAACTCGAAGACGACGCGCAACGGCGGCGAGGCCGAGTGTTCGGACGATGCTGAGGAGGACGACGAGGGAGAGCAGGACGACTGGTTCAATCCTTTTCATTACATGCCCTCCGGTACTGCTGCTCCATCTTCGCCTCCCGCGAAACAGCGCGGCGGAGCTTTTGGCCCGGAGCCGTCGAGCGAGGCACGCGACGACGCCGCGAGCGCGGCGCCTTCGAACCACTCGGACGATGCTCCGGCCTCCGACGAGCGCTTCGCCGCGGACTTCTATATCGACAAGCTCGACTTCCCCTGGGATGATTGGGGTCGATTTAAAGAAGCTGGCGGTCGTCGGAGAGGACCGGATGAGCAATGGCGCAAGTACGCGCCGGCCGGGTCGCCCAAGGCCGACTTCCGTCGATGGACGCGCGCCCGGATCTACCTCAACAACAAATTTTCGGACAAAGACAAGGTCAAGGACCTCGGCGCCAAGTTTGACCCGGCGCGGAAGAAGTGGTTCGTGCCGTCCTACGTCCAAGACGAAGGCCGGCTCCCGGAATTCGCCCGCTACCGCTAAGACAGTGAGACCCTTGTTAGCCTCGCACACATCACTTTCGGGGGAGGGATCACGCGCGCTCATCGCACGAGGGGCGGCGGCGGCGGCGGGAGGAGGAGGAACGCGTCGTCGCGGGGCGGCCCCGCGGCCTCGTCGAGCTGCGCGTTCGCCGCGGCGCAGGTGCGCCGGAGGTTCGCGTTGACGGCGACGCGGCGCGCGGCGAGCGCGGCGGCGTCGTCGAGCGCGCGGCCGAGCGCGCGGCGCTTGTCCGCGCGCGCGGCGGCCCGCTTCGCCGCCGCGGCCTCGTCCAGGGCCTGGCCGCGCGAGAGCGCCGCGGAGCGGTCGTCGAGGTCCGCGCGGTCGCGGTGCGCGTCCGCGCGCGCGGCCTCCACCTTGTGGAGCAGCGCGGCCTCGTCCGCGTCGTCGCGCGCCTTCGCGTCCGCCGCGCGGGCCGTCTCCTCGGCGAGGCGCGCTTCCAGGTTTCGCACGTCGGCGACCTTGTCCTCGAGCCTTTCCTTGAGGCGCGCGGCCTCGAGGCTCGAGCGCTCGACCTCGAGCTGCGCGGCGTCGCGCGACTCCGCGACGTCGCGGACGCGGTCCGCGAGCACCTCGCGCAGCTCCTCGAGCTTGGGCGCGACGACGTCGCGCGCCTTCGTCGCCGTCGCCAGCGCCGCGTCGACGGCGGCCCGGAGTTGCGCGGGGCTGCCGTCGTCGCGGTCGCCCGCGTCCGCGGCCGCGATCAAGCGCGCGGCCGTCCGCGCGTCGACGGCGAGCGACAGGTCGACGCCGCCCGCGTTCTTGGCCGTCTTGGGCACGACCTGGAGCTTCGCCGCGGACTCGCCGTAGACGACGGCGACGGCCTCGATCTCGAGGAGCGCGTCCGCGAGCGACCGCTCCGCGTCCACGAGCTCCCGGAACTCGTCGCTCGACCGCCGCGCGGCGCGCCGGTTCTGTAGTTCCGCCTCGAGGCCCTCGAGCTCGCGTTTGAGCCGCGCGACGAGCGGCGCGTCGGCCTCGCGCTGCGCGTCGAGCGCGCGGAGCTCGTCGTTCGCCGCGGCCTCCGCGTCGGCCTCCAGCTTCAGCGCCGCGGCCTCGGCGACGGCCGCGGCCAGATCGGCGTCGGCGTTGCTCGCGGCGGCCTCGTCGTCCGCGAGGCGCGCCTCCGCGTCGGCCTGCCGCTCGCGCGCGAGCGCGCGCTTCTCGAGCAGCTCCGGCAGGCCCCGCGCCTCGTCGCGCGTCCGCGCGCGCATCGCCTCCAGCTCGCGCGCGCGCGCGAGGAAGGTCTGCTCCTCGCGCTCGCCGTCGTCGACGCGGCTCTGGAACGCGGCCTCGAGCTTCGCCTGGAGCTCGTCGCACGCCGCGTCGTCGCCGGAGAGGAAGAGCCCGTAGGCGTCGCCGATGTACTCGTAGAAGACGCGGTCCGCGCCCAGCGCCGCGAGGCGGCTCGCGACGTGGTCGTCGCCGGCGACGACCTCGTCGGCCTCGGAGAGCGCGAGGCGCCGGCTCGCGTGCGCGGCCGCGACGGGCCGGTCGCGCGACCCCTCGTCGAACGAGATCAGATCCGCGAGCCAGAGCAGCGCGGCGAGGAGCGGCGGCCACGTGTGCGCCGTGCCCACGGCCGCGAGCGCCGTGCGCGAGATGCCGAAGGGGTAGTGGAGGCGCTTGAACATGTCGACGAAGTCGTCGTCGAACTTCCGGCTCGCGTCGCGCGCCCACCGCGCGTCGAGCTGCGTGAAGAGGAAGCAGGACATGTCCTCGAAGTCGCGGCCCGTCGGCCGGCCCAAAGCCGCCGCCGTCGACGCGCCGCCGTAGCCCCGCGCCCGCAGGAACGCGCCGAGCTTCGCGATCGACGCCTTCACGTACGCCTTGTCGGTCACGGGCCGCGGCTCGCTCGTCTTCCGGTGGCCCTTGCCCGTGGACATGGGCGTCGTGTTGTGGCGCGACGTGCGCAGGCTCCAGCGCGTCTTCGACGCACTGAAGGACGTCGACGACCGGCCGCCGGCGATGGGCGTGTACGACGACCCCGACGTCTGGGTCGTGGCGCGCCGCGGCGTCGCGGACGTCGCGCGCCGCGGCGTCGTCGACGACGTGACGCGCGACGCGCGGTGCATGGAGCTCTTGCGGGTGCCGCCTTCGGCGACCATCGTGTTTTGGTGGGTTGTAGGCGCGCGCGACGCGCGATGATGAGCAGATACCGCGCAGGTCGCGCTCGTTCAAACCAGCAATGTAAACTCGTGGTAAACGTCGATTTGTGAAGTTTTTTGCAAATTAATTTGCAAACAACAGGCCTCTCCATACCACTTACTTCTCCCGCAGCACCACCTCGCCCGCGCTCGCCGCGGCCCGCGCCCGCCTGCGGTCCTCGAGGAGGTCCTTGATCGCCCCCTTGAGCACGGTCGCGAGGATCAGGCCGCACATGAGCGCGAGGTACGAGTAGTAGGACACGCCGGCCATGCTCAGCACCGCGTCCGGGCAGCCGCTGGGCTTCGTGAAATACATGACCGTCATCACAGCACCGAAAATCACCACCGCGACCTCGGCGAGTATCAGCAGACCGATCAAGCTCGAAGCGACGTTCCAGATCTTCTCCTTTTTTTTCTCGCGCGCCTTCGCCTAGCCGAAGTCGGCGAAGATGCCATCACCAATTCTTGCCGCATCAAGGAGGAATATAGTGCAGAATCCTAAGGGTGTTTTTGCGTTCCCTAGAGCGATTTATCACAGCGTCCGGTCCTTCAGGGGCCGCTTCAGGACGTGGACCTCGTGCCACCGCTTCAGTTCCACCTCCTGGCGCATGTACATCAACACGACGCCGATGACCGTGAGGCTCCAGCGGCCGGCGAGCGACCCGAAGCGGAAGTAGAGGCCGTACCAAATCGCAAAGGATGCGCCGAAGACGTTGCTGAACGTCATGACGACGAGCGAGAACCAGGACGTCGCCGCGCTCGCCGGGAACTGGCGGTGCACGCTCAGCGCCATGCTGCCGGCCTCGAGGTTCGTGACCATGAGCGCGAAGACCGCCGAGCAGGGGTTCGGCACCTCGGCGATGGACATGACCGTGAGCACGAGGCACAGCACGTGGTGCGCGTAGAACACGGACGACATCTTCACGAACATGTCCTTCATCAAATACCCGAAGAACGCGTAGTGGAAGGCCGCGTGCGCCGGCGAGCCCCCGTTGGACGCCCAGGAGCTGTGGAGCCAGTCGCTGAGCGCGCCGTCGTGCGTCGCGAACCAGGCGCGCAGGGACAGCAGCAGGAGCGGCGGGAAGACGAAAGTCTGGTGGAGGCTGCCCACCCGCCAGGAGTACCACGGCGTGCCCATGACGTCTCGCATCCAGCGCCGCGGGCCCAGCGTCTCGCAGCACCGGTTGAGCCCGTGGCCCAGGGCCGTGCTCGCCGCGCAGCAGAGGACGTGGTGGCGGGCTGCGGCACCCATCATCGTCGTCGTCGCCTCGAGGTGCCCTCAACGATGCACACAATTTGTCACAAAGTGAAGGCGCATCAAGGGCAGGCCAAGACCGCAGCCAGCCGCCGGGGGTCGACCCAGCCAGCCAGCCAGGGACGTCCGGTCCACGAAACGACACCTCGCTACAGCCTCTACAACGCGCGCCTACCGCGTGCGCGCGCAGCACGCGCGGCGCGGTCCGCGCCGGTAGTCGCGTAGAGGCGGTCGGCCGGGGCGGTCGCCGGGGCGGTCGCCGGGGCGGTCGCCGGGGTGGACGCCGGGGTGGGCGCCGGGGTGGGCGCCGGGGCGGGCGCCGGGGCGGGCGCCAGGGCGGGCGCCAGGGCGGGCGCCAGGGCCTCGTCGAGGCGCGCGACTTGGCGTCGCGCTTTGTCGCCCGCGTCCGCGTCCGCGTCCCTGGCCCCGAGCGCCCGCTTCCGCGCCTGGCCGCCTTGGAGCGACGACGTGGCGAACGTCTTCAGCCACTGGCACTCCAGCGGGTCGAGCTGGAGCTCCTTGACGAGGTCCGCCGGCATCGAGATCGTCGGGTGCACGCGGCGCCAGTGCGCCCGCATGCACTTGTACTTCCAGAAGAACTGCTTCGTCGCCGTCTTATTCCTCTTGCACTCCGGGCACTCGATGAGGTGGTTCGTGCAGGGCGCGTTCCACGTGCATTTGCTCGTCTTCGCGCTTTGTTGGTACGCGATCTTGCCCACGACCTTGCACTTCACGTACGGCTTCAGGGTCCTCTTCTTCTTCTCGAGCCAGGCCGGACAACCGGGGCAGGCCTCGTCGTCGACGACGTGCTGGGCCTGGGGCCGCGCCGCGCACAGGCCGCACGGCATCTCGTGGCCGACGTCGTCCTTCACCATGATGTGGTAGCCCGCGTGCTGGAGCATCTTCCCGCGCGTGAAGACCTGGTTGCAGCCGGCGACGCCGCACACGATCTTCTCGTCCTTCTTGGAGTCCTGGTGCGTGCCGATGGACGTGGCCGCCTGCTGGGACCCGGCCGCGACGAAGAGCGGCACGTCGTCGGCGTCGAGGTACGGCACGACGCGCGACTTGGGCGTCGGCATGTCGATGTCGCCGCGGGCCTGGTACTGGACGTGGAGCAGCGTCTCGAGCTCCGCCACGCCGATCGAGAGCTTGAGCTTCAGGTCCCGCGGCTCGTCCGCGGCGGCCGCGTCTTCCGCCACGATCCCAGGGTTGAACGTGATCGCGCCCGCCGTGGAGACGTCCTTGAGCCGCTCGGCGAGGTCCACGCCGTGGTACCAGACCAGGGCATCGCCGGCGAGCTTGGGCTTGACGATGGAGCAGGTCATCTTGGAGCTCTTGTCGCAGAACGCGTCGCTCTTGATCACGGCCGACGACTTCGACGACGCGTAACTGAAGCTCTCAGGGTAGACGATGGCCCAGGTCGCGCCGGCGGGCGTGAGGACGA